TGACTGAATTGGGCATGATGATATGTGTCTCTTATCCTAGCATTTGGGAGATTGCAACAGAAACAAAGGAGTCCAAAGTCATCCATGGATCTTTAGTGAGTTTAGGGCCAGCTTGGCATGCCTGAGACCCTGTCTCAAGAGACCATAAAACCCAAGCCTGCAGCATGGTTCAGTAGCTTTGCCCCTGTATGCCTGGAGATCCGATTTCAATCCATGGAACTATGAAAAGGTAGGAGAAAACCAACTCCATCTGGTTATTTTTGACCTCCCTCCACCCCATATCCAGTTTGGTAAAGGAGGCCGGCACATACACACACGAAGAGAGAGTAATACGGAGAAAGGACTGCAAAACTCAGTAAGAAAATCAAAACAAAACAAAAACTGAGACTCCTAGGTAGTGATAACTTCTTTACTCATTGTATTAATATTTTTAAGAGCAATAAGCACTCTTTTTTAAAAATATAATTTATTTATTTATTTTTTCATTTGCATTGGTGTTTTGCCTGCATATATGTTTGTGTGAGGGTGTCATGTCAGATCTTGGAGTTACAGACAGTTGTGAGCTGCCACGTGGGTTCCGGGACTTGAACCCGGTTTCGCTGGAAGAACAGTCAGAGCTCTTAACCACTGAGCCATCTCTCCAGCCCAGCACGATTTAAAAAAAATATATATATATATAATTTATTTTTATTTTATTTGCATTGGTGTTTTGCAGCATGTATGACTGTGTGAGGATATCAAATCTTGAGTTACAGACAGTTGTGAGCTGCCACGTGGGTGCTGGGACTTGAACCCAGGTCCTCTGGAAGAGCAGTCAGCGCTCTTAACCACTGAGCCGTCTCTCCAGTCCCTGTATTAATATTTTTTAAGACTGAAGCTCACTATGTAGCACGGGCTACTCCGGAATTCACTACCGTAGCCGCGGCTGACCTTGAACTAAATGATTCCCGACTCCCAGCCTCTCCCTTACCAAGTTCTAGAATTAACTTGGGCCCTAGCTGTTTTAAAACAAACAAACAAACAAATAAATCCATTTCCTCTTCTAGGAAGGGGAAAAAAAAAAAAAAACCAGTGAAGGTCATTCTGCCCCAAGGAAGCTCCTCTCGGAGGAAGCAGGGTGGGTTGGGTAAGGATGGCCCCAGGTGGGGGAGGGGTACCAGAGCCTCCCTAGCCAGGGGGCCAATGAGCCCTCAGACTATATAAGAACCCAGAGCCCAGGCCCTTCTCAGAGGCTTCTGCGGCTTCCTTGAGGATCCTCTGCTGCTCCGCTTCTCCTCCGATCCACCTTCCGACGTTCTCCGTAGGAAAGGTAATTCATCTAGCCGTGTGTTTTCTGGGTTTTCTTCCCTTTTTCAGTTCTGTGGTCAGAACCCGGGACGGGCTTTGGCCGTTTACCTTTATTAATGTCCTTCACTTTTGGGAGGGGCTACCTGAGCCAGGCTGGGTATCTGAGATCTGCCTGCTGCCTCCAAACCAGAGACCACCAAGGTCTGGTATTTTTCAAGAACGTTTTTCAGAGCTAGAACTTTGGGTCAAAATGTTGGATTCGGCCTCTTGAGCCCCACACTCAGTTCAGCTGGCTTTAATTCCAGGAGGTGGAGGCCGGCAGGTCAATATGGCGTCTCAGCAAAGATGTAAAGTAGTGTGATTTTTTTTTTTTTTTTTCTTGTATGTTTCAGACCAAGGGGTTGGAGTCATTGAAGAGAGTCAAGAGGGCCCCAGGCAGTTCTCTGCAGTGCGGCTCATTTGGAGAAGCTGAACTAGTCAATGGGAGGCATTAGTTTTGGTAAAACTTGGGTCAAGTTTGGAGCCGGATCCTAACTAAAGCCTCTTTCCCGATTTCTTATCATTCAGGTGTTCCGCGCCGGTCCAAGTGGTGGATCCAGTTTCTTCAGTTCCTGCCGGGTAAACCATCTCAGCCTGTGATACTCAAACTATGGGGGCACTTTGTGTTCTCAGGACTAAAGTGCCGCCAAGTTTGAGCGTTACGGGTGGAGGAAGCGGCGATTGCCTTCGACCAGCCAAGTCCGGGCCATTTTGGTGGCTCGTCTGGCAGCGCTCTGGTGTGGGACACCATCCCGTGGGGTACCACGTGTCTGGGTCAACTGCGGCGGCGTCCCGGGAGCTGGGATTCCTGGCATGGGCGGGGGTGGGGAAGGCTGGGGACTTCAGACATCCCTTGCACAGCAGCCGGTACCTACAGCGGCCGTGTAGGGAAGATAAACCTGCGGAGACGGCGTGCGCCCAGGCTCGGGCCCGCCTACCCGCACAGTGGCCATCAAAGTGGAGGCCCTCTCTGACCTAGAACTGAGAAAGTGCTTCCACTTTGTGCGCCGCTGTGTGAGGAAAGCATCGGCCTTAACAGGTGACGGCCAGCCACTGGAAGAAGTTTTGGCATAGGCACTCGGTTCGGGCTTGGAGTGGAATGGATGCTGCCCTCACTTTAACGGGCAGGGCCAGTTCGGGTGTGTGGAAATACGGTTTTCATGTTTGGGACTAGTGGTGAGCGCTAAGCAATAAACTGTCCAATATTTAAATAAAAGTTCAAGGTTAACCTTGGCCATTAAGGGGGCACAAGAGACAATTGGGGTGGAAGGAACATTTGAATTCGGGTGTTAATTCATCTAATGTAAATTCATCTAATGCATATGTCCTTGAGTACAAAAAATAATCGTATTTGCAGGACCAGTAGGTATACTAATCTTGGACCCTCAACCTGTGATACTCAAACTGGTGGCTCTTTTGTTTTTTCTTGGAAGAAAAGTGCCGCCAGGTTTTGAGTGTTACCGATTGAGAAAACGCAACAGTTCACAGCTGCAAAAATTTCTGGAGGCTGGGTGGTTTTACCTCTGACCTCTTCCGGGCATGCGCTATGTTGGGTGGGGTCACAGGGGCACCATGTGTTGCTGAGTCAGGACACCTGGCGCAGGAGGGGAACGGGTCACCTGGGATCTGGTGAACACAGCGGCCATCAAAGTGGAAGCCCTCTCCGAGGCTTGTCCGGAAAGTGCATCCATTTTGTTTGCCTCTGTGTGTACAAGGCATCTGAAAAACACAATATCCACCAACGGCAACCACGAGATTCCTTAATCTGTGGGGGGCTGGGGGGGGAGGTTGAATTCTTTTCCACTGGACACATAGCTGATGCCATGAGGTCTCGAGGCCCGGGAACTTGTAATCCAGGTAAACAGGGTGGATCTCCGGTGGGGGGCGGGGAGATTTCTGAAATCTAGTGGCTGCCATATTAAACTTCAAATTTTTTTCCCAGGTCTTCCAGTTTTTTCTCAGGGTCTCACAGTTTTTTCTACAGGTTATTTGCCAAAAGTTCTCTTCTAGATCTCAACCTGCAATACTCAAACTATGGGGACACTTTCTGTTCTTTGGAAGAAGTGCCGCCAAGATTTGAGTGTTGCCGATTGGGAAGACGCACCTGGGGAAAGTGGTCCGGCGACAGGGAGGGCCTCGGCTCTTCATGGAGCCTTCCGGGGGAAATATGGTTGTGAAGTGGATAGGGAAGCTGCTGAGCCTTCCAAGGCCAAATTATCTCATCTACTTGCCCTGGGGCAATAACTAAAACCTGCAAGCCTTGAAGCAGGAAGCCAGCTGCTTGCCCAGGAGGCAGCCATTTGTCTAATGGCAGAAGTTACCCTTACTGGGGATGGGGAAAGGTGCCTCAACCACCGAGTTACCTCTGACTTATTAGTGTTTTATGATCCTGTTTTCAGAGGCTACCTGCCTCTGGTACTCCTGGGATTCAAGTTGGGCACCACCACACAGGGCTACAATATTTAACTACATTGCATGTATGTCCAGACAGGGATTTGAATTTGGCTCCTAACACTCTTCCACAGTCACAAGACAGTCTTTGGACTCTTAGAATTGCAGGTTTTGGAGTGTCCCAGATAGCCATACTCAAAATGGAGGCCCTCTCCAAGCCTTTGAAGTGGAAAGTGCTTCTATTTTGTGTGTTGCTGTGTGGAGAAGACATCTGGAACTTCTGTCGACCAGGAATTACTCACCTGGTGAACTCAAATGTGCAGCACTATTCTGGATTGAATGAGTGGAAAGTGCTAGACATTTGAGTTTCCCCTGTGAGTGCCATTCACAGGCCCGTCTGTCCCTTAAGGTTTACATTCTATTTAGTGTTGCTGTGAAGACATCTGGAACTTGTGTCGACCAGGAATTGCTCATCTGATGAACTCAAATGTGTGTAGCACTATTCTGGATTGAGTGGAAAGTGCTACGACATTTGAGTTTCCCCTGTGAGCATCATTCACCAGCTCCTGTCATTTAAGGTTTGCATTGTTTTGTGTGCTGCTGTGTGAAGACATCTGGAACTTGTGTCGACTAGGAATTACTCACCTGGTGAACTCAAATGTGCAGCACTATTCTGGATTAAGTGGAAAGTGCTAGACATTTGAGTTTCCCCTGTGAGCGCCATTCTCCAGCCCCTGTCCCTTAATGTTTACGTTTACGTTCTATTTAGTGTTGCTGTGTGGAGAAGACATCTGGAACTTGTGTCGACCAGGAATTACTCACCTGGTGAACTCAAATGTGTAGCACTATTCTGTCTGGATTGAGTGGAAAGTGCTAGGCATTTGAGTTTCCCCTGTGAGCGCCATTCACAGGCCCCTGTCTGTCCCTGAAGGTTTACATTCTGTTTTGTGTGTTGCTGTGTGAAGATGTCTGGAACTTCCATGGACCAGGAATTGCTCATCTGGCGGAACTCAAATGTGCAGCACTATTCTGGATTGAGTGGAAAGTGCTACGACATTTGAGTTCCCCCTGTGAGCGCCACTCCCCGGCTCCTGCCTGTCCCTTAAGGTTTGAACTTTGTACTGTGTTCACTTACTATCAATACTTTAGATGTCTGTTTCAGCTTTAAAAAGACTTAATTTATTTTAAACTTGATGTGTCTGCAGCACGAGCTGAATCCAGATGAAGGCATCATCCCCTGGATGTGGGTGATTTAATTCTCATGCTGGCCATTTTTGGGTTGCCACATTAATTAACTCGGTAAAGATCAATAAAGTCTGGTTCTCTTGGCACTTGGCTTTTGGTATTTTATTTGGTGTGTGGCAGGGTTGGGTATGACAGGTTTGCTTCCATGCGATTTCCTGGTACTCAAGCCATAATGCCTGTTTGCTGGGTCATCTCAAGGGCCCAGTTTGATTTTTTTACAGCTTCTGATATGTAGCTAACTGTACGGGCCTCAAATTTCCATGTAGGTCTGAGTCACTACCCTTCCAGGCTGGCCATTTCAACATGTGGATTAAATCAGTGCCAGGGAGACTTCTGGTCCACCTTCCATTTGGCATGCCCCCACCCCCACGTTAACCGGCTGCCCTCTTCCTCAGACTGAGGCTAGTTTTCTAGCCCAGGCATCTCACCTGAAGGGCCGGTTTGCCTGGCAGGTGCTCCTGTTAGGGTCCTCACCAAATTAATGGTTTCAGGTACTGTGAAAAAATCTGCAGAGAAGCATCGTGGTATTTAGGGACAGGGTGGGAGGTATCTAGGGGAAAGGTGAGCCAAGGCCCTTAAACTACCGCGGAGGTAGAGTCCAAGCCACCTGGGAGATGCTGTTGCAACAGGCTGTAAGGTCCAGGTGGTTGAGCAATCTTGGAACTTAGGCCGACCAGGTGGTTTAGCTGCCTTAGAAATGTTATCAGGCCAAGTCTTACGGGAGCCTAAGTTCACCTGGCTGGCCTGACTGCCCCCTGGCTGCTAGCATTGTAGGTGCCATGATGTCTGACCACAGGCTTTTAAGTTTTTTAATTTAAGCCCGCTCCTTTACAGGTTTCAATCTTTACCATATTAACACCAGACCTGGGGTTACCATAGTTATAAGCGGTCCTGTAGGTACTGGAGTTACAACCCAGGTTCTCTGAGCCTCTACCATAGTGATTTGTTTTATAGTGATATAGTTCCCTGGTCTTGAGTGGCCGCCCTTTGCCTCCTAAAACCACCATGCACAGCACTTTCCAAACCCAGGCGTTATTTTTTTTAACCATGGGCCCGTCACATTCAAGCTCTACAGTGCCTGAGGACAGAGTATAGGTATGGTACATGCTAGGCAGCCAGTATGGAACTGATCCATATGCCCAGCACACTGCATGTTCTGAGGCCTCATTGTGCATAGTGGATATAACCAGTTCTAGAGTATCCTAGACCTGGCGCCTCTGGAACCTTGGATTTGCAGGCCAGCCCACTTTGGACCCTTAGCTTCTGGGGACAAGTGTATAGTTTCCCAGGTTGTAAGTACATTGTTGAGTTATGAAGTAGGAAATGAGAAAATTTTCCATGGTATCAGCTGATATCCAGACAGGGAAGTATGGGCCACCCCTCCATCTGTAAGGATTCTGGAGTCATTGCTATTTCTTAAATTGCTTCTGGACAATTCACTTGCACTGTGCACAAATAATTCTGGGTCTGGCAGCAGAGGCAAGCAGAACTGAGTTTGAAGCCAGCCTGGTCTACAGGGAAGATCCAGGACAACCAAGGCTACACAGAGAAGCCTCTCAACACACACACCAGGCCAAACCCTCTCTGGGCATATTTTAATCTGTTGTAGTTCCATACTTTGGCCAGCAGGTGGGAGTCTTAGCCCAGTGGGGGAAATGTCCGGGACTCCCAGATTTTTTTTAAAATTTCCCCACGTATTCTCTATTACCGCTTATCAAACCTGCTAAACAGCCAGTCCACATCCTAAATGATGTGCATGGTGTCGGCATCCAAATCCAAAGAGCTTCGTCAGAGGTTGAGTGTTTATGATTTAAGCAGAAGGAACATTTTTGTCAACCTGCACTTTCTGGGCCTCCTTGCCCCAAGACAGTCTCATGGAGCCCCCCCTGGTTTCTGAGCACAACCTTGAATTTCCAGTCCTCGACTCCACCTCACCATGTAGCAGAAGCTGTCCTTAAAAAGTTCTGCCTCTCAAGTGCTGGGTCACAGCTGTCTGAGGGATTCAAGGTTGGGATCGCTTCCATTCTGCAGGAGGGCTCAGCACCCAATATCCAAGTACGGTTTTGTGACTCGAAGTGCTGCCAGCCTCTTGTGGGTCATTTTGTTCAGGTCCATTCCAAACAGCCTGGGGACAAAGCATGGGACTATCGTCACTACGGTGACTAAAAAGACAGCATCCTGGTAGCCTGCGTTTTTGGCTGATGGAAAGAGTAATTTTCCCTACTCCTTTCCAAACACCCTTTGGGCCTGGATCGAGTGCTTCCTGCTCTTGCACAGGGTCAGAGTTCAGTTCCACATACGACCATAACTCTAGCTCCAAGGGATCTGACATCCTTTTCTGGTCAGTATCACCAGAATGCACGTATATGCACGTACGTACGTACATACCCACACATCATTAACCATCAAAATATCATTTATCTGGTTGGTTTTTCAACAGGGTTTCACTATGTGGCCTTGGCTGTCCTGAAATTCACTCTGTAGACCAGGCTGGCCTGGAATTAAGAGCTACAACTGCCTCTGCCTCCTGAGTGTTGAGATTAAAGGTGTGCTCCACTAACAATGCAAATCTCCCCCACACACACCCTCCTTTGGTTTTTTCAAGACAGGGTTTCTTTGTGTAGCTTTGGCACCTGTCCTGGATCTCTCTCTGTAGACCAGGCTGGCCTCAAACTCACAGAGATCCTCCTGCCTCTGCCTCTCCAGTGCTGGGATTAAAAGCTTGCATCAACCCCCACCCCCCACCCCCAGCAGCAATCCAAATCTTCGGGTATGGGCAACTGAGATGACTCAGGATAAAGTCTCTTGCTGCCATGTTTGGTACCCAGAGAGCACTGATGTCAAGTTGGCCTCAGACTTGTACAAGTGCCGTGGAATTCAGAGATATAAGTGCAAAAAAATTAAATCCTAGTTGCAGTGTTGGGACTTACAGCTCTCTGCAGGCTAGGCTAGGCTAGGGTAGGCTAGGCAGGCAGGCAGGCAGGCAGGCAGGCAGGCAGGCAGGCAGGCGTCACCTTCCTAGCTCACATTTTGAGATAGGGTCTCACGAAGTTGCTCAGGCTGGCCTTGAACATGGGATCCTCTTGCCTCAGCCTCCTGTGAAGCCAGGATTTTTTACTTGTTTTTGTTTTTACTTAATATTGTTTGTCAGGGTGTGCTTGTGGAAGCCAGAGATCAGCCTGTGGATGTTTTCCTTCCTACCCCACAAGGGTCCTGAGGGGTGAACTCTGGTCACTAAGCTTGGCCGTAAATGCCGAGCCAGCCCACCAGCCCTTTATTTCTGTTTTATGCATGAGTATTTTGCATACATGTATGACTGAACCTCGTATTGCAGTGCCAATGGAGGTCAGAAGAGGTTATTGGATCCCCTGGAACTGGAGTTGGATCCCCTGGAACTGGTTGTGAGCCACAAAGTAAGTTCTGGGAACTGGGTCTTCTGCAGGAGCAACAAGTACTCTTAACCACAGAGCCATCTCTCCGGCCTCCTTACTCCCAATTTTTTGTTTGCTTGTTGGAGACTGAGTCTCTCTGCAGCCTTGGCTAGCCTGGAATTCTGAAGAGATCTACCTGCCTCTGCCTTCCAAGTGCTGGGATCAAATATGTTCCCAACCGCGATGGTCTCCTTACTCCCAATTTTAAATGTCTTCAGTCACTAATAAGAAGCTCGGGACAATCCAACTTGTACTGTCATTTACAGAAGCAGAAACCATGGTGTGGAAAGCATGTTATGTGGGTAATAGAACTTCCAGGTTCCGGCTGAGGCTGGCTTTATTCCTATTTAAAAGAATAGCAGACAAAGGTGTACTGCATGTGTTTGCAATGGCAGCATTCAGGAGGCTGAGGCAGGAGGATGGAGAGTTTGAGGACTACCTGGTGTGTCCAATTCCCAGCTAGCGTGCTTTGTAAGTGCTGGTCTCAGGCATTACACCCAGTACCAGGAGTGAAATAGCCTCACCTTTTATCTACCCCGTCTATTTTATTATTTACATATGTGTATGTCTGTGTGGGGATGCCCAGGATGGCTAGAAAAGGGCGTTGGATTCCTGGGAGCTGGAATTACAGGTGGATGTGGCCACCTGACGTGGGTGCTGGGAATGGAATTCAGGTCCTCTGTAAGAGCAGCAAGTGCTTTCTCTTAACCACTGAGCCATCTCTCCAGCTGAGGACTACCTGGTGTGTCCAATTCCCAGCTAGCGTGCTTCGTAAGTGCTGGTCTCAGGCATTACACCCAGTACCAGGAGTGAAATAGCCTCACCTTTTATCTACCCCATCTATTTTATTATTTACATATGTGTATGTCTGTGTGGGGATGCCCAGGATGGCTAGAAAAGGGAGTTGGATTCTGGGAGCTAGAATTACGGGTCGATGTGGCCACCTAATGTGGGTGCTGGGAATGGAATTCAGGTCCTCTGTAAGAGCAGCGAGTGCTTTCTCGCTCCAGCATTATTTATCCAGTTTTCAATGCATTTCAGTTATTTAGTATTCCTCCTCCCAAACCTGAGCCCAGCGTTCCCGAATCCCCGATTCTCCCCAAGCGATCGGGATCCACCGCTCACCACAGGACTCGAAGTTTGCAGCCTGGATGTCTCAGCCTCTTGCACAGCAGCCGGACCCCTGTGTCCCCCAGGGCATTGTTGGTCAAATAAAGCTCATTTAGGGTCTGGTTGGCTCCTAGGATGGAAGAAAGGTCCTCACACGCTTTCGACGTGAGGCCACAGCTGTCCAGCCTACGGAAGACAAGCTGAAAGTGGATGAAGTGGGCTTTTCAGGGAAGTGGGCGGCAGTTTTATGGGTGACCAGGTTTTTTGTTGTTGTTGTTTGTTTGTTTTTTGAGACTGTTTCTCTGTGAAACAGTCCTGGCTGTCATGGAACTCATTCTGTAGACCAGGCTGGTCTCGAACTCAGAGATCCACCTCTCTTTGCCTCCTGAGTGCTGGATTAAACGCGTGCACCACCACTGCCTGTCTAGTGACCCAGTTTAAAGGAAACAGCCATGAGCCCATCCAGTGGTTGCTGGACACATTCCTTAGTGAGTGGTGTAGCCTTTAGCAAATAGTCTCCTTACCATGCTCATGCTGGTAACCCTAACTAGCTTTACTTGGTGGGCAGAGGCAGTCAGATCTCTGAGTTCAGGGCTACACAGAATAACCATATGGGGTGAGGGGACAGAAAAATAAATAGCAAGTTATAGTAAGGTGAGTTATTATAGATGGGATCCCCAGCATGGTTTGGAGTCAAGGATCAATGATTTCCTTTTGCAGTTAATTGGCTCCTCAGTTTTAGCCTGGAGCCAAATTTGGCCTCAAAGAGTAGAGATAGGGGGGGCTCCAGCCCTCCACGGTTCTCTGTCTCCAGAGAGGCACCTTCTCTAAACAATGAGTCTAACGCCTGCAGGATGTTAAGGATGTGGATTTGAAAGGCTAGATGTAGGGGCTCACACTTGTAATCCCAGCAGAGAGAGGCAGATCTCTGAGTTTCAGGCCAGCCTGGTGGACAGAGTTCCAGGACAGCCAGGGCTACAGAGACCTTATTTCAGGAGGGAAAAAAAAAAAAAAGTAAATTGGGACAGAGCATCACTGCAGGGATTCCACCGTGAAGCAGAGTTAGCTTGAGAGCGGAGCCAGAATAGTACCACCGAAACCCCAAATCCCCAAAGCAGGAACTGGAGAGACGGCTCGGTGGTTAAGAACCGCTCTTCTAGAGGACCCAAGTTTCCGGCACCAGGCTGGTTGGTTCACAACAACCTGTAGCTGATACCCTGAGGGCTTCTGGTGGCATCTTCTGGCCTCTGTGGACACCAGCAGGTTTAAGTGCACATCCACATAGATGAAAAGATGCCCAAATCAAGCTGTGCCTGAAGCCTTTCAGTTACGCAAAGTAATAAATGCCTCATTTTTTTTCTAGAAGTTTCTAAACACCACCAAAGTTCGTTACATTTATTTATTTATTTATTTATTTATTTATTTATTTATTTATTTATTTATTTATTTATTTATGTGTTATGTTTACCGTGTTCTGCCTGCATGTATACCTGCACACCAGAAGAGAGCACCAGATCTCATTACATGCAGATGGTGAGCCACCCTGTGGTTGCTGGGAATTGAACTCAGGACCTTGGGAAGAGCTGCCAGTTCTCTTAACCTCTGAGCCATCTATGCAGAGTTCTGCCCGCCTCAGTCTCCAGAGGGCTGAGATTAAAGGCGTGCACCACCACTGCCCAGCAAATATACTGTCTCCTATCCTACACTGCTTAGCTCCTGAGATCAGATGAGATCAGTCGCATGCAGGATAGTATGGCCTTGAG